AGGGTCATGTTCGGCAGCCGACGCCCGAGAGCCAGGCCGCGGAGGGGAAGGCCCTCCCCGCGCCCCCCAAAACACGAGGATGCCGGACGCAGCACGGAAGAGAGCCTTTTCGGAAGATTCCTTTGGGGGCGGGGCGGCGCGGGGAAGTTCGAGAAGCACGACCGGGCCGCGCGCGCCCGGGCGGCGAGGGGAAATGGTGGCAAACCACCTTGGAATTCGGGGGGCGAGGTGGCGTGACGCCCGCGGCCGTCAATCGGGCAAGATCCGACAGCCCGGCCATCCTGCGCCATGACCACTCCAGCGACCTCGGAGACATCGCGACGGAGTCCTGGCACGGGCCAGGGGATCCGGAATCGAGAGACATCAAGAACCGGAGTGGAAGCGCATCATGGGGGACCTGGTGTGCCAGTGTGGAGCAGATCTTGTTTGCCAGCCGCGACGCTGCCGGTAACCTGGCGGAGATCTTCTCGCCGCCGAGGGCCCTGGACTGCGAGGTCCAGGACGCGATCGGCAGTGGCCTGGCCGGCGACCTCCGGACAGGCTGGGGCTGCGGGAAGAGGGGGGTCGCGCGCGGGCTTTGTCGGATATCAAGAAGCGAAAGCCGAAGGCAGCGGGGCCCACCCCCCTGTTGCGATGTTCTGCGCCCGGCAGAACCTCGGCGCCGACTAGAGGACCGAAAATCGGGAGACGCAGTGCAAGGAGGCACTGCTGTCCCTGAGGCTCGCGATCCGTATCGCCAAGCTGCAGCTGGGCGCGGGGCGCCGTTCCTACCTGCGGCGCCCTTGGACAGCCGCGTCTTGGGGCTCGGAAGAGATGCGCGGGCTCATGGAGATCCTGCGGGCAGCGGGGGCCATCCTGGACCATGGCGCGCGCGCGGCGAGAAGGGCCCGAGCGGACAGGGGCCCCCGGCGAAGCCGATGGCCATGCTCACCGCGCCGAACCACGTCGAGGACCTCTTGAGAGGAGGTGCTCCAACGACTACCAGCACGCTACCGCGCTACCGCTACGCTGCAAGGGCCCCGGCGGGAAGCCCCAGAAGATCTCGATATGGCGTCGAGTCTATCCACCCAACATGGCAGAGGCAATCAGCAAGGTGATCGCCAAGAACGTCAGGCGCCCGATCGAGGGTACCAGTGTGGCAATGGCACTCTACGGTTCGTTTTCCACGGGCCCGGAAGGAGAGACTTGGGGAATTCGATATGCGGATCCACGCCAACCTCGGCCACGCGGATCTGAGGCGGGCGACGTCCGTCTTGAAGGCGGTGAAGACACAGCCGTAGCTGCTGGGCGCGATGAAGAGGGCCATCGAGAAGTGCGACGTCTGCGGCGCTGCCCAGCACCCGAAGTCCGCGCCACCCGCGCGACTACCAATGCCAGGCTGCTGCGAGTTCAACAGGGCGATCGGCGAGGACCTGCTCTTCGCTGTCAGGACTTGGGGCGGAAAAGACATGCCCAATATCGAGACCGCCCCATGTTTGACAGCGTTAATTGGGAGGCCGGCGTGCAGATTTTGGTCAGGCGCCTTAACCGGGAGCACGCCGCGATCAGGGAGGCGCATCGCAAGTATTGGGCGTGGTCGCACGGGCGGTCGAGGCGCCTGATCAGCGACCAGGAGAGGGTCATTATCAGCGGAGTGTTCGCGGACAGGGCCAGCGCGAAAGGCGCCGAGCTCGACCCCGTCGGAGCCGAGAGTGAATGCCAGAGACGAAAGACCGAGAACGCGGGCCAGCTATGACATGGGATTCATTACCGCATCAGCCTGACTGATGCGATCTTGAGCGACGAGGGCCAAGAGGAGCTGTTCGACGCTGCCAACTGCGCCGTGATCGGGCGGGAAACAGAACTGCGGGCATTCGGACAAGGAGCCCGTCTACTGACAGATTTTCGCAAGGACGTCACTGACGTGAGCCTGGAGACGACGTCCCGACTCGCGGTTGGAGATGGCGCCTTGGCCAGGGCCATCGGGCTTCGGTTCGCCGCCCAGGAAGCAAGCGCTCGGGGGCTCGTCCTGGACCGCCTGCGCCGCCAAGAACAAGAGGACCACCCCGTTCCGAGGCGAGGGGGCTCCCAGGGGCAGAGTCTTTTTTTCTGGAAGCAGCAAGGGCCCTAGCGATAGGCCCGGAAGCATGTGCGCGGACCCGCGACAGTGATCAGCGCGAGAATCTGGGGCATCTTGCGCATCAGCTTTAGAACCGTACAAGGGGGTGGTCATCTTGCGCAGCTGGAAGCAGCTGCGAGCAGCTACTCGACCGGAGGCGCATGCGAAAAGCCACGTGACCGAGACGGGCGGCATCAGGAAGCCCACAGAAAGGCAGGGAAAGCGCAAGTTTGAGGACATATCGGACCAGCCTGAGCCCCCCCGCGCGGAGGACGAACCAATGCCACCGACATCAAAGGTGCCAGAGGCGAACGCGAAGCAAGAGAGCGACGCCAGCGCAGGACCTCCAGTTCCCGATGCGGTACTACCTGGAGACGGCGGCGGTAGAGATGAAGCCGAGGGGCCCGCGGACGCCCCCTATGGTCGCCCGAGAGCGACAGGGCCCGTCTAAGAGGCCTGTGAACGAGACCCTTGAGATGCCCGTGGCCGGCGACACGGCGCAGCCCATTTGCCAGATTGCGGAGACAGGCCACCCGTCCATCAAGCAAGCCGCGGAGTGGAAGGAGGTCTATTGGTTTACCTGAAAAACTTTGAACGACGAAGAGAAGGAGCAGTTCTACGAGGCCAAAACGGAATGCAAGAACATACCTGGTGCCATCGCGATTCGGATCACGTCACCCAGCGCAGCCAACGACGTCGGGGGGGCAATGCTGAAAAGATCATGCCGAGCCGACAGTGCTACGCCTGGAAGACGCAGGACGGAAGCTTGATGGCGAAGAGCCGCTGGGTCGGGCTCGGCGGCGCGGACCTTGGTTTCGCGGTGCTCGAGGCCTACTTCCGGATGGTCTCCGAGGAGGCTTGGACGATCAGCGCGCACCTGAAAGTGTCCACGGGGTCTGACATCGAGCAGGGAGATATCAGCTCGGCCTTCATGAATTGGCGCCGATGCCAGAGGGCGCAGGGCCCCATCTTCTGCGAGCTACTTGCCGAAGGAGTACCTGGAGCCGAGCCTGGCTCTCTTCTCGAGGTGTCGATCTGCGTCCACGGCTTGGGAGGCGCAAGATTTCAATGAATGGCGCGGAGCTTCACCGCTGAGGCGCTGGCAGCTGGCTTCAAGATCAGTTCCGACAACCCCTGCCTGCCCCCACCTGCGCGATGGCGGCGAGCGCCGAGAGTCGCCAGCAGCGGATGACTCCCGCGGAGGAAGGAGACGGCGCGCATTTCCAGAGGGCCATGGCCAAGATCCACCCGATCGAGGCCCCATATCGGCATGTGCCCGACGGGGGCGCGCGATTCCTCGGGGGGCAGCTCTCCGACAGGCCTGTCAGGATCAGCCAGAAGACAATGGTGGATGAGATCGAGCTGGCTTACAGTCCAGCCGGGCGGTGGGCCACGATCAACGAGCCCTGCGACGAGAAGGAGATTTCTGCTGTACGGGCCGCGGTCGGATCCATCAACGACATCGGTTGGGAGGCCCGGCCAGATCTTTGCGGACCAGTGTTCCTGCTGCAGAGCGCGCTTCCGAAACCGAAGGTGGAGGATCTGCTGAATGGATTCGGCCGGCAAGGATCGGGGGGGATTTCTCCCGCGCGAGCCCGCGGGCCAAGCCGTTCGAGCTGAAGCGCGTCGGTTTTTACGCGGTGGCAGACGCGGCGCGAGTGAAAGTGAAGGGTCGGGCCAGCCAAGCAGGCTGGATATTCGCGGCGGTGGGCGCGCGGATCTGCGACGGACTGGGGGGGGTCTCGCCGACTGACTCGGGGGCCGAGCTCCCCGGCGGCGGAGACGCGGGGGGCGAATGAGGGCCCGGCGAACGGCATCTACCCGAGAACCTTGTTCGCGCAGCTGGCGTTTCCGGGCCTGGACGCCCGGGCCGCCCCGGAGGCGGGGCGCGCCTTCCCGCTCGCGGAATCGACCAGTTGCGCAACGTCTCAGCAGGCCCCAGCTTGGACCGACGGACGGTTCGACATCGCGACACTGCAGGAGAGCATAAGAGACAGCGAGGCGGCCATCCGATGGGTGGACGGCAAACGACAGCATATCATCGACCCGCTCACCAAGAGGAATGACTGCGCCGACCTACTACGCGCCATTCTCCAGGAGGGCGAGTTCGTGATCGTCGAGGAGGACCAGGCGCACAATATACGAAAGGAGGAGCGAAGATCCAGAATAACCATAAGACGCGCCCTTGGCCGACCAAGGCCAGCCACTGCGACCGCGGAGGCGCCTACTGGATCGACCCCCAGCCAAGTCTGCAGATCTTGTCATATGCATGCGCTGCGAGCTCTGCCCGTTATAGATGCCCTGGCTGGACCGAGTTCCGGGTTCTTTTTGGAAGGGAGGCTGACCGAGCAAATAAGTGTCTTGGCATCTAGAATTCTCGGGCGTGCGAGACGTCCGAAAGAAATTTTCACAATTTGCCAAAACATGCCCGACACCCAGCCCCTGCCCGCAGCTACTTTGGTTTTACCAGGGGCTTCGGCCCCTCGAGGCGCTAGACATTGGCGTCAGAGCTGGTACCGGCAAACCTGGTTTCGAGACAGTTTGCGCTTCTACCGCCGCTCCACAGCATTCAGTGTTACCTTTTTTTATCTGGGGGTATTTAAGACCTTCGAAGTTGTGCTTATCCGAAAGAGCTATCCCCAGACATCCCGCGTTCCACTTTTTTCGGCGCGTGGGCCCCGCAGGTTTGGACAAATAGTTCCACAGGGCCAGCTGTTCATCCTTAGTCATTCTTTGACGGCCCAAGAGCCCGTTTTGAGGGCCCCCAGAGGCCAGAAACGCAGAAACTGGCCGCTCCATTTTTTGTCGGAGTTTTGGGTTTCAGGGAAACGCGCGAATCGTGGTCGGGTGATGTTTCCCTTTTTGGACTCAGCCGATCTCCCCCCAACGTGGCCCGCTAGAGGTGTGCCGCCAGCGGTGCGTCGGCACGCCGGCTTGCGCGGTGGTCAGGCACCCCAGTACAAAAGCAGCGTCCCAGACATGTTGGTGTCGTGGGAACAAACCGGTTCAAGGTCTCCGAACCTGCACGCGGAAAACGACAATTTGGACCGCCGGTCTGTTTGGTTTCGTCGCCCTCGGCTGCTCGTCGTTTTTGGTCCCCGGGCCCCCTTCTCGGAATCCGTGACCGTCAAAAGGGATCCCGACGTGAACGACTAACTCACTCCAGGGAGTTCCCCCGAACGATTTTTTAACACTGTCTGCATTGTTTTATTGTTCTGGGGGGGCGTTTGATCGGGGCGTCGCAGTTGTTTCACACCGGGCTACTTCGCCGGCTTCCAGGCCCTATGAACCGTAGGTTTATTTGGCGAGAGAAACGCCTCACCAAGATGGGGTCTACGGTTCCGGTCGTGATTTGTTCGCGATGTTGCGATTGTTGTCGTAACGTCATATTTCAGGGCAGGCGCAGCGTTGGGGATGGTGACAACAAAAAGTCCACAGAAGGTTATGGTTCTGGCTTGGCCCCAGGACTGTCACGGGATGAAAAGCCCGCCCTGGGAAAAGGGTCGTGTCTTCTCGGGACCCAGTGGTGAACAACAATCAAAGCATCGGATGTCTGGAATCAGAAGACTTACCCTGGCCAGGGCGTGCCAGAGGGGTTGGCCAGGCCGGGGTGGCCGGAAGGATGGTCGGCGCTGGCGGGGGGCATGGCCGGGGTAAGCGGAGGTCCGCGCAGATTTTTGTTATCGGCGCTGGTCCGCCCTGGCGGCGCCTTTGGCGCCGTCCCTGGCGCGTCCCATTCAAGAACTCCACGCAGATCTTGATTCGGGCCGGGCGAAAGGGGGGGATTGGGAAAGGGTGGGTTACGAAATTTGCTGCATGCAGCTGATTTCGGACTCACCGAGGGGCCCATTCCTCGATACATAGTTGCCTCTGGCGCCGGGAGGCGCCGGGAAAATCAGCTAACGTGAGCTGATTCTCACCCCCCCCTTTGCCATCCCCCCCTTTCGCCCGACCCGATTGATGTTCTGACGGGGTGCAGCGAGGGCTGCAGAAGAAGACGCCCTGCAGGGCCTCTCAAGGGGCCCTGCAGGGCCCCAGAGGGGCCCTTGTCAGGGCCCGGAGGGGTGCACCTCTCGCCCCCCCCTCCTCCTCCTCCCCCTCCTCCTCCTCCTCCCCTCCCTCCCTCCTCCTCCTCCTCCTCCTCCTCCTCCTCCTCCTCCTCCTCCTCCTCCTCCTCCCCCTCCTCCCTTTTTTCCCCTCCTCTGCCGACGCGACGCCCAACTTCTGCCGATTTTGCTCCGTCCAGGTACATGCCCTTGGACCAAGGATGCCGCGTTGGCCCGCAGGATGCCGGGCTGGCGCCGGGGGCCTGCGAGATGTACGAGGCGCGGCCGCGCGCGAGAGCGGCCCTTCGCCGGAGTCGGCTCTGGTGCGCGGCCTTCTTGGGCGTGCGGGGTGGGGCAAAGCCAAGCACACCAGGCAGCCGGCGCTCCAACACGGAATGAACGGGCATTCGACCGACATTTTTTCCGAAATTGCCGCTTCAGGACCTCTCTCTGGCATGGCAGCGTTGCCCACGTCGGGGAGGGAGGTGTTCGTCAGGTCACGGGCCGAAGTGCCCCTGAGGAGGCGCGCTGAGAAGCGTGGGCCCCCAGAGGTCTAGACGACTCCCTTATAGAGCCGGTGCTTCGTCATCCGCCGTTTTTTTTACTTGTCCGGAAGCCCGTTGAGACCCTTGGGAGGCCGAAAATATGAAACAACGCGTCTTTCCGTGTTACGTCTATCCCCCACATTTGCTCGAAGCATTTTCCATGGCGCTCAGTTGCCGGGATTGGACCGCCCCCCAGGCACCCGGCGTCATGATTTTTCCAATGCGTGGTCCTAGGACGTCCCGGCCCCTTTCCGCTGGACTTGGGGCCTGGCGAGGGCCCCGAGAGGCCGAAAAACACAATTTTGCAGCGTCGTGAAAGTAATCACGCGGGGGGCCTGGCGAGGGCCCCCCCAGGAGGCCGAGCATGGCCCGAAAACCTCACGTCGTGATTGTTGCCATGACCCGAGGTGGTCTGGACAATACAGTCAACCCGCATAATCAGTAAGGATGGGCAGCCTTCCCAAGGGTTCCCTTGCATCCTCGCCTCCTCGGTCCATCCTTCGCCGCTTTCGCTGGCCGCGCATCCTTGCTATACGGGTTGACTTGAAGGTCTGGCATGCGTGTCGATTCGTATCGCATCGCATTTTTTTTGAAGCCTCGGATCTCTGAAGCGCGGACCGCTACTTTCAGGCGGGGATAAAACACACACACACACACACAGACACCATTCGTGTCGATCCCCTGGGAAAGATGGGAGGAGGTGGGAAGTGGGGGGCGAGACGAAAATCCAGAAGATGTGGAACAATATTGGGAACATCTGGAGTTGTGTCTGTCTGTCAGGCGGGGATAAAACACACAGACACCATTCATCGTCGACTCCCCGGGAAACGTGGGAGAAGGTGGGAAGTGGGGGGGGGGAGACGAAGACCCAGAAGATGCGGAACAGGATAGGAAACACCTGTCCTCCTCCCCCTCCTCCGAGTTGTGTCTGTCTGTCTGTGTGTCCCTGGGCCACTTCCACACGCAACCCGCCGCATGCAGCGGTCGGCAGGTCGCGCACCAGAGCCGGCGCCCGCTCAGGGCCCCCCTCTTGGGTATGCGGCCGGTCGTGAGGCGGACTGCGCCCAGGCGTCCGGCAGCACCTGCATGTGATGGGCCTGTTTTCCACCACCACCACCACCATGACTTGGAGGGGGATGGGGTCCTCCTCCTCCTCCTCGATCCTCTTCGCCCTCCTCCTCCTCCTCGTTCTCCACCTCCTTCACCCCTCCAACTTGTGGTGGTGGTGGTGGAAAACAGGCCCATCATGCATGGAGTTTCTCAACGTGACCGACACCCCCCTCATCTCGAAGAAGAAACAACCCCAGGCATCCCTAAGATCCTGGCGTCATTTTTGTTGTGCGAGCCGGGCGTGTTTTCGCTTCGTTTCGGGCCCCAGGACCCTCACGGATCGATCCAGTTGGAGAAATGGCGCAGAAAGATTGTCGTGGGGCTCCAGACGTGACGTTTTGTTACGATTGTGCAATTTTGTCGCTATGTCAGATCTCAAGCTCGCGTCTTGAAGAAAAATGGACAGGAGGTTTTTTATCCCGTGTTCGGCATCTCGTGGCCCTTTCTGGGCCCCGGAACCGTCCGAACACGACTCAGGATGAAAAACCGTTCTTGTGGAAAGGGTCGGGATTTCCAGGGACCGCGTATTGAACAAACAGGGCGTCGCATGTCTGGGAGTGTATCAACATGAGAATGAGGGGGGCGAACGGTCATTCATTGTCCCTTGCTGCGTGGCTGGAATGGGATCCCGTGGCCTGGATCCTTGTTGAGTTGCTGGGAAGTTTGTAGTTTTACACATATATGTGATTATAGAAAATATAATCAGACTGTCCTGGAGGATCCAGGAAATCCTGCAGCCCTTTGTTGCTCGAGAAAAAGAGCGACCCTCACCTCCCCCCTTTCTCCGCGAGGGGGGTGGGGGCGCGTGCATGGTAGCGGAGCTCGCTTGAGGTTCGCGGGCCGCTCCGCACCCAGGCGAGCTCCAGGAGCCCCTCGAGAGGGCCCAGCGGCGCGACGCCGCGGGTCCAGCGGCCAGCGGGACGATCCACGCGGCCGCCGAACGAAGGACCCCTTGCGGGTCAGAGCTGCGGTCAGACCCGCGCTCTGGCAGCGGAGGCCAGCCAGCCAGCAAGGGCAAGGGCAAGGCCACGCTGAAGGCCAAGAAGCCGAATAAGCGAGGAGGCAGAGCGGCGGACACGCGTCAGCACCGCCAGCTCCGAGGGAGCGCCTTTAGGAAGCTTGCGGCGTGCGGCAGCGCGGCGAAGCTCACTCAGGAGGAGCGAGCAGCGGTGAAGAGGCAGCTGGCGAGCGACATCGAGAGGCTAGAGAAGCGTGTCATTGACGTGCTCGACGACCAAGATGGAGCAGCAGCTGCAGCAACTGGTCGATCAAGTTCAGAGGCTGACGACGGAGAGTCAGAACATGAGGCAGGAGCTTCAGAACAGGGACGTGGCGATCGCAGAGATGAGAGGACAGCTTCAAGGTCAGCAGCAGGCTCAGCAGCAGGCTCAGCAGCAGCGGGTAGCCCCGCGCGGCGAGATGATGGATCCGAAGATCCTTCACAAGGTGAAGCCGTTCGACGGCCAAAGGTCGAGCTGGAAGACGTTCAGCTTCCAGTACAGAGCGTACCTGATCGCCCAGGATCGGAGGTACCGAGATCTTCTGGAAAGGTGCGAGGACGGAGCCCAGGAGGTGGACAACGTCAACCTGGACCCGCAGGAGGAAGAACTCAGCACGCAGTTGTACTACGGCCTGGTCCTGGCCATGCCCGAGGACTCGGTGGGCGAGCTGATCGTGAGGAACAGCCCAGTAGGAGAAGGAGCCGAGTGCTGGAGGAAGCTTCAGAAGGAGTACAACCCGAGCGAGGCAGGCAACGTGCTGGCGATGTGGACCAAGCTCACGGACACGAAGTTCGACGCCAAGGAAGACGTGATGGTGAGCATCAGCAAGCTGGACGAGGACATGGCGAGGTACCAGAAGATGGCAGGAGAGCCCGTCTCGGACCTGATCAAGCGCGGCATCCTCACAAAGGCGCTGAAGGATCACGACGAGCTGCAGAAGCACGTGTTTCGGAACAGCAGTCGGTTAAGTACGTACGAGCTTCTGAGAGCCGAGGTAGTGTCGGCGTTGATGGCAGAGCGAGCGGTTCAGGACGACCCGATGGAGATCGGAGCGCTGAAGGGCGGAAAGAGACCGTGGAAAGGCCGCGGCAAAGGGAAAGACGGCAAAGGCAAGGAGAAGCCAACGAATCCCGACGCCGAGATCGAGTGCAACTACTGCCACAAGAAGGGCCACCGCAGCGCAAACTGCCGAAGGCGGATCGCCGACGAGAAGAAGACAGCCGAGAAGGACAAGAAGGACAAGAAGCAGTTCCGAAAAGAGAAGGCAAAAGAAAAGAAGAAGATCGGGGCAGCGGCAGTCAGGGAGCTCGAAAGGTTACGACAGACAGGAGTGGGCACAGGATCAAGCTCGGCAGCACCGACACAACAGATGCTAGGAAGTCAGGGAAGCGCCGACAGCGCGATGACTCAGCAGGTGCTGCGCCCAGTCAACTGTGCGCTACAAGCGAAGATGATTCTGGCCCTGAGGGCAGAGGTCACAAGAAGCGCAACCACACGATCGACTGGAAGTACTGCTTGCCTGGCTACTACCAATACGACTGCTGCTCTTGCAAGAAGACCTTTGAAGGATGGCGATGGCACTACGATCAGTGGCAGCTGGACTACTGTGCCGTGTGTGCCGAGTTCTGCCTGGACAGCTTCAAGGACGGGGAAGAGCCCGACGACAACAAGAAGCCAAAGCCAAAGAAGCGCAAGAAAGGCTAGATTCGTCGCTGACGGCTGTAAGTTCTGCGATATGCCAGCTGCGGTGAGCCCCGCGCTGGCCGGCCCCAGGCCTGTTACCATCGCTGGTCTTCGGCCCGTGAATGAAGATCAGAGCCCTGCGGATGACCGATTGCGGTTAGCCCCGCTTCGGAATGCGATCATGCTAGATTCAGGTGCGCAGATCAGTGCGATACCGAGGTCACAGGTGACCAAGCACAACTACACGCCGACGGACAGCAACGTTGTCGGCTTGAAGGGCATAGGAGGCGAGGAGATCGAGAGGTACGGCCACGTGGAGATGAACCTATCCCGAGGAGGAGAGGTTATTCAAGTCGGTGCTGAGGTTGCCGATGTGGAGTACCCAGTTGTGGCTACAGACGCTGTAGTACAACGTGGTCAGAGTGTTCTTCATAGCCCTGCAGGTCACTGGATCATCAACGGTACCATCGAGCCACCTGACGGAGCTGAGTTCGTACCTCTACGTCGTCACCAAGGCAACTACTACTTAGAGTACGATCACATCATCGACGGCCAGACTCAACCAGAAGCTTCAAAGGTAGCTGCGGTACGAAAGACACTACCAAGGAAGGTACCAGCTGAACAGGAAGCTGGATCTTTGCCGAAGGTTCTAGGTCCCGAAGCCGATGAGACCACAACTGTGCCAACGAGAGTGTTGAAGACTCCTCATCAACCTAGTGCTGCGGAGAGGGCCGCGCACGAAGGGCATCATCTACCTTTTCGGCCTTGGTGTCCCATCTGCGTGCAGGCTCGAGCGGACGATGACCCCCACCACGCTCAGGAACCAGCTGATGAGAACAAGATCCCGAAGGTGGTGTTCGACATCTTTTACGTAGGGACGGACCAGCTGGCTGCGAAGTACAAGCTTAAAGGAGGTTACTTCAGCATCAGGGAGAAGACGTCGGTCACGAAGGCCGAGATAGACCAAGCGGTCTCTGTCTTGAATGTTATCGACTGTAAGATCTTGGCTCAGGCGACGTTGTACGCGAACAAGGAGATGGATGACTACAAGGTGTCCTTCCTGCTAGGCGTGCTGGAAGCTTGGGGTCACACAACAGTCATACTTCAGACAGACCAGGAGCCTGCCACCATGGCTCTGGCGCAGGCAGTTCGAGATCGCAGATCACACTCAACCTTGGTGCGGGGATCACCGCCCTTTTCCAAGCAGAGTGCAGGCTACGCTGAAGGAGGTAACAAGCTAGCAGCTGGTCTACTTCGAGCCTACAAGCTGAAACTGGAGCACAAGCTGGGCAGCGAGATCAAGATGACGGATCCGATCGTGCCATGGCTTGTGAACTCAGTGGGGTGGATGATCACCAGATTCCAGCCTCGCAGTCACGGAGGTTCCTCCTACAAGATGCTCTACGGCAAAGAGTACAACGGCGAGATTGCGGAGATGGGTGAGCAGGTCTGGTATCGGATCTCAGCCCGAGTTGCCGCGGGACGTGGCAAATGGGAAGCCCGCTTCGCAAAAGGAATCTGGGTTGGTAAGAGCGAGCTGGACGACACACATCTCGTGATCGATCCTGAACGTGGAGTGCAGAAGGTCAGAACGGTGCGAAGGATGCCTGAGGAGTTCAGGTGGCAGCCCGAGCTCATCCAGCACATCAGGGTGACGCCCTGGAAGCAGACGCCCGACAAGAGTTCAGGAACCATCGGACGCAGCATGTACATCACGGAGCGCATGATCGATGCTCATGGTCCTACCGACGATTGCAGGAAGTGCAGTACAGGATACGGTTCGCATTCGGCAGCCTGCCGACAGCGTTTCGAGACCATTCAGGCCGACTTGCTGCGCGAGAAGTTGGCGAAGGACCCTGTGGCCCCTGAGGCTACAGTCGTGGTGCCAGCGCCGGCTGCGGGAAGCCCCGCGCCTGGAGCCGCACCCGGAGGAGCAGCGGCATCAAGCAGCAGTGAGGTTGCGGTGAGCCCCGCACCTGCTGCCAGCGACGTAGCTATGGTTCCTGGCCCAGGAGAGGCTGAGGTGCAGACAGCCATGGACACGGAGAGTGGAGAGCTCAGGAGCGACTTTCGGCGAAGTGCCCCAGGTGAAGTTCGTGAAGGAGCTGAGGTCAAGAAGCCCAGGGTAGCAAGCATTGGGCATCTCTCTGTCTGTGAGTTGGCAGTCTGCGAGGAGGGCTACGACGAGAGCTTCGACCCCATGTGGGATCCACACCCAAAGCGCAGTGCGAGATGTTCCGAGAGGTGTGAGAAGCACTCATCACGATGCCAGCTACGAGAATGCCATCAAGCTGAGTGTGCATGCAGGAGATGTTTGATGAGCCACATCGGCACAATCAGGAGCCACTTAGGAGATCCTGAGGAGCAGCAGGTGGAGCAGATGGTTGAGGTGAGCGCCGAGCTGCATGAGAAAGACCAGTGGAGCCCAAAGACGATACACTACGATTACTACACTGGAGAGCCTCTGGATGAGGACCTGTATCAGAAGGGTCGCGACGACGAGCTGCAGGCCATGAAGGACTACGGGGTCTACGTGGAAGTGGCGACATCGACGGCGACTGACGGCAAGCACATTGGAGGTTTCCCGATAGCCCACATGAAAGAAGGAAAGGTCAGGTGGAGGTTCGTAGCAACCGAGGTGAACAAGTACGAGGTCAGGGAGGACAACCACCAAGGCACGCCCCCGCTCATGATTGTCAGAGCGACGCTGAGCCGTGCCGCTTCAAGTCCAACTTCCAGCGGGCAGCACCTGCGGAAGATACAAGTCTGGGACGTCAGGAAGGCTTTCTTCAACGCTGACTTAGACGAGACGATCTACGTGCATCCTGGGAGAGAGCTGTGTCCGCCTGGAAGGTGCTGGTGGTTACGCAAGGCCATGAACGGTACCAGGAAGGCGTCGCAGATGTGGGGTGAGCTTGTGAGAACTACTATGGACGACGGTCATTGGGAATGCTTGGTCGGAACTCCTAACGTGTTCTACTTACCTGCTAGCCCCAACACAGCCCCCTTCGACGAGGATAGCACAGCGATCTGCCATGGCGATGACTTTCTTGCTGAAGGCTACGACGAGCAGCTGGACGAGCTGGACGAGTTGTTGAAGCAGCAGTTTGAGGTCACGGCCAGCGCCAGACTTGGACCAGGAGCGGTAGGGCAGACTACATACCTCAAGAGGACGATCGGCTACACCGACAAGTTACCAGGTTGCGAGGAGCCAGGTTTCTTCTGGACTGCCGATCCCAAGCATGTGGACTTCATGATCAAGTGGACGCAGAAGCGAGGTTGTAAACCAGCTCCCACTCCAGGAACGAAAGCTACAGGACAAGGCCGACGAGACAGCCTAGACCTTCTTTCCAAGGATCGTGCTCGAGAAGTGGCGGGTGCAGCTGGCACCGCTCTTTACCTTTCTTCGGACAGGCCCGACACGATGTACGCCAGCAAGACAGCGATGCAGCACGTCTCCAACCCGAACGTCTTGATGCATGCGCGTGTTCAGCGACTTGGAAGGTACTACGAAGGACAGCCTGTGTTGGTCTGGTGTTACCCACTTCAAGGTACTCCTGAAGGCATTCGTGTAGATGGTGACGCGGATTGGGCACCTACGAGTGAACTACAGCGGCGATCTACCAGTGGAGGAGCTGTGAGGTATGGTGACCACACTTGGGACTGCTACTCAGTGACGCAGAGTACGATAGCCCTAAGTTCAGGGGAATCCGAGATGTACGCTACGGGAAGTGCGACAGCCAGAGGACTTCAGTGTAAGACTTACCTGATCGAGACCCAGAGGCCCTGCAACCTGAAGATCTATAGTGACAGCACAGCTGGACGTGGCATGTGCAGCCGAGTTGGGGTGGGCAAGGTCAGGCACCTGGAGTTGAGGTACTTGTGGATTCAGGAGCGGTTGCGTCTCAAGGCGTTCGAGCTTCACAAGGAGGACACCAGCAAGATGACAGCCGACATGCTCACGAAGTACAGCGAGTGGCCGACAATCGAGAAGCATTGCACCACTCTCAACCTCAGGTTCGGAAAGCAGTTGAAGGGCTTGAGCGCGATGGCAGTTTTCACGGAGGTCGTGACGAAGGTGTCAGGCGAGAAGGTGACAGTGTACGGAGGTTCTGACGAGGTTGCGGTTTGCCCCGCGCCTGTCAGCCACTACGTGGACAGCGAGGAGTTCTGGTTCTTCCTGAAGTTGGGACTTGTTGTGGTGACTGCAGCCACAGTGTTTTTACTGGGGTGCTGGTGTGGTTGCTACTTCAAGAACTTCTACGACAAGTTCCTCCTCCAGGGTGCGGTTAACCCCGCCTCTGGAAGCACTTGCACACCATCTGCGCGGGCTGACGTCGAGTTCAAGACCGTGTGTGTACAGCAGGACAAAGGAGCAAGGCACAAGCTCTTAAGCACGTTTCTTGTAGCTGACCTGCGAGCTGTCTTGAAGGCCAAGAGCCTGGCCGTGTCAGGGATCAAGGAGGACCTGGTCACGAGGATGATCAAGCATGGGTGTGTTCTGTCGGATCGCCAGGCCAAAGAGATCGAGCAGCTGCGGGTGATGGCTACAGCGCGTGGACCTCTTGCCAAGCTGAGCTTGCAGGACATCAGCAGTCCAGAGACCGCGCAGAAGTGGATCGAGACGTTCATGAGCGAGTGCTGAGACCGTTCCAGAGGCTCTCAGGTGATCCACGGAGAGGGCCAGGAGAATGGTCGCAGGAAGCACTACGACAGCCGAAGGTGAGCTTTCTTTTACAGGCTGCGGTTTGCCCCGCGCCTGCCCTCTGCGGGTAGCCCCGCGATGGGCTTAGGTGGGCAGCGCCGTTGCGAGGCCTGCTAAGGGAGCACAAAGTGGTTTCCCTGTGGCTCACTTTTCTCGGCTGGAGGCCGAGCCGCTTCCAACGCCCAAGGAGAGGTGCTGGGAAGTTTGTAGTTTTACACATATATGTGATTATAGAAAATATAATCAGACTGTCCTGGAGGATCCAGGAAATCCTGCAGCCCTTTGTTGCTCGAGAAAAAGAGCGACCCTCACCTCCCCCCTTTCTCCGCGAGGGGGGTGGGGGCGCGTGCATGAGTTCTTATTTCTGAAGACTGATATTGTTTGGGGGCCCTGCGCGGTGCCATTTCTGCATGTTTCAAATGAAGTGCCCCTCCCGTGGCTCGCACCATATTTTTGCAAGGGTTACAAGGGAATTCCTTGATACTCAGTTCAGGGTGCTGGCTCCCGCTTTACAGTAACATCAACAAAGACGCCCGCTTGATATGCGGGTATTTCTTATTAGTTTGTTCAAAATCGCGCTCCCGCGCTGGACCTCCGCAGATGTTACCCAGGACTCGCGCTCTCGCGCGGGACTTCCTCCCAATTTATTGCAACACCACGCCCTCGGCACTCAGGAATCATGCTCTCGCTCTGCACTTCCTTACGATGTGCTTGGGAATCGCGCTATCGCTTGAGACCTCCTCGCGCGATCCATGCAGGAATGTGGGTCAGCGGCCCGCCCGCACGACCCGGCCGTCTGAGTCCGCCTGCCCGACCCGCCCGATAGGGTCCGCTCGCCCGACCAGCCCGCCTGGCTCTGCCGCTTGTTTTTCTGCTCCGATTTCCCTGCTGCTCAATCTCTGTTGTACTCCATCCTCCTTCCTCATCCTTGTCCGTTCCTTCCCTCCTCCCTCCCTACCTTCACCGTTTTAGGGGCTGCGCCAAGTACACGTGGCAGATCAGGAAGATACACCCTCAAGGGGGATACGTCGAAGACGATGAGGGTGGGTATCGAGCGTTTGGGATTGACATCTTAAATTACATGCAAGCAGATAAGAGCGCACAGTTTTAAACTGACTGTTGTTATTGTTGTTGCTGCTGTCGTCTTCGTCCTCGCCCACGACCCCTCTGCGACCCACCCCGCGACCCACCCGCTACCCAACGCGCGCCCGCCCGCCCACTCTTATCCGCAACTGCGTGACGCTACACACACTTTCAGACAGGGCTCGAGCTAGACTGTTATTCGGCCATTTCGTGGGTCGTTTCCGCTTCTCGTTTTACAGCAGAGCGGAACGAAGACAGGGAGAACGAAAACGAAACGAAAACGGAAAACACGGTTTGGGCCGAGCCTTGCTTTCGGAGGTTCTCGCTGATTCTTGGATCGACGCTGGGCCCTTAATCCCGGCGCGCGGAGCTCGCCAGGGGCGGCATTGGAGGCGCCGCCAGGGGGCTCCGGCGCTGGTCCAAGAAGTTCGCCCGGAGCTCCCGCAGTGTGGAGACACATATACATTTGTATATACACATGTACCTGCATACATACAGATGTGTATATATACATACATACCTACTCCAACTTTTGTAATAAAAGAGGGGGGTCTGATTTGGGGGGGGGTCTGGCTCAACCTGTCTTGGAGACAGGGGGTCACCCCAGACGGGGGCTACTTTTTGATGGAGGTCGCCCCAGACGGGGGGGGGTCCAAAATGGCTCGTCTGGGAGGTTTTTGACCCCCCCCCTTTATTATAAAAGTTGGAGTACATACATACACACATGTGTGTATATATGTGTACATCTGTGTTTGTGCCGTTGTTTGCCCCTCCCCCCGTGCGGCCGCCCCCGTCTTCTTCCCCCCCTCTGCACGCCGGCCAATTTGCCTTCCGGGGGCCCCGAATAACGCCACACGTTGGGGCGGGCTGCCTCTGCCTCGCCGCCGACGGACAAGGGTTTATGCCGTTGTTTGTTCCTCGACGATCCCCTGGAGCATGGAGATCGGCCACGCGCGCACCCAGTGCGAGAACGCGCAGGAGCTCCAGATCGGCCGCACCGTCGCCGTGGCGACCCGCAGTGCCTGCGGCGCCCGGTGCTGGAACGCCTCCGACTGCACGGGGTTCAGCTTCGGCGGGGCGGGCGCGGAGGCCAGCTCGTACGGCGACTGCATCCTGCTCCGCCGGGGCTGCAGAGCGGTCACCAGAGAAAGACAGAGTAAAGAGCCACTGTCGGAGGTCCCCGCGCGTAGCTGCGACAGCTTGTGATCACACAGCGCTTTGTCCCTCTCAAGGTCAGCAGCCCGAGCTGGGACTACCACGTGATGATCTACGCGGACGCCCTGGATGCCGGGGAGGAGTTCCTGGAACACATGGGGGCGGAGGCGCAGACGTGGTTCGACGAGTACGCGGAGCGGGAGGCTAACGCCGCTATTGCGCCGGGCAGGGTCTCGGGGGCGAACGTGCCTTCAGGATCTCCGAGGCGGGAATTATTCATAGCCGCGCCGGGGGGATCGATCTTCGCGGACCTCCACAGGACGTGGAATGGATAGTCGGGCACCCGGGAGCCAAAATATATCCATATCCACCGCCCGCCGGGGCACCAGTACGTCTTCGGCTCCCCGGCGGTGGATATGGATAAATCCCCGCCTCGTAGGACCGCCAGAGAACATCACGCGGGACCTGACGGTGTACGATTGGCGCTCCGAGGAGGAACGGATACCCATACACCGCCGCCTTGCCCCCGTCGGGAGAAATCTGGGAAGCAGCGGCATCGGCGCTTTCTTGCCACCCACTTGCTCACAGGAGGAAACGGTACCCATACCACTACCTTTCGCCCCACCGTACCACAGATTTCGTAATAAAGGGAGGGGGGTCTCATTTCGGGGGGGGTCTCTTCCAGGCTATCTTGGAGTGCCTGGGGGGGTCTGGGGACGATGGTTTGGAGGGTTCTCCCACGGGGGAGGTCTGAAATGGCTTGTCTTGGAGGGTCCAGACCCCCTCCCTTGTATTGCGAAATCTGGAGTACCCTTTTTTGAGCCTCCTGGGAGGCCATCGTCGCCACCGTTGGATTCGCTTCGAGTTCTTGGTCAGAACGCACCCGGGGAGAGGCCTGCGGAGCAGTGGCGTCGGTGCCTTCTTGCCCCTCTTCCTCCTCCTCCTCCTGCTTCTCCTGCTCCTGTTCCTCCTCCTCCTCCTCCTCCTCCTCCCTTCTCCTCCTCCTCCTCCTCCTCCTCCTCCTCCTCCTAACCAGGTGCGGCGTCGGGCAGGGGTTGGCCAGCGTGACGTTCTGGCCCGGGGACGAGCAGTCCGCCGCGGTGACTGTGCAGACGGCGTCCGTGCGCTGGGTGCAGTGGCCCAGCGCCGCGGAGGTGGTGAGCTGGCAGTGCGACGGGGCCAACAAGGTCAGCGGTGGTGCAAAGATGGGGTCCTGAGGGATGGGGCCCCAAGGTTGTGGAGGGCGATCAACGGAGAGGATGCATGCTGCCAGATGATTTCCAGATGTCTGGGAAATGTGCTAGAACTGTTTAAGCATTGAATACACATGTTTGAACATGTTCATAATATTTTCCGACATTTTAAACACGTTTTTAATTAGATGATAGGAGACTGTTAGGGTGTCCATTGTCGTGCCATCCACACTCCTGAGGACGAGGTGCCTGAGCACAGAGATCCGATGTCGTGCTTTTTCAACGCAAGGCCCCCAGAAGCCCGGCCCTTTCCCCAGGGCCGGCTTTTCATCCTGGTCCCGAGGCCTGGCGAAGACCCCAAAGGCCGAAAATGACAAAACATTGACCGTTGTGATTTGTTGTACGACGCGATCATGCCTGGGAATATGCCCTCGAGAATCCTTTCTTATAACTTTGGCCCCCATCCCTTGGGGCCCCGAATTGCCTGGGCCGCCGAGGTCATGAGCACGTCGCTGCCGGGGGGCCTCGCCCCGCTCCAGTGGCTGAGCCTGCAAGCGAGCGGCGCAAGAAGTCGGGGTCGTCGTCGCCGACGTTCGCGCATAAGCTTGGGTCGGGCATGTCCCGCTGCAGGAGGTAGAGTCAAAGATTGCCCAATGGTTTCGTTTTTCTTTCTTTATACTACGTGTTAATAGTTCCGAACGTGTCTTACAATGTTTCATTTTTCTTTCAACATCCGCCTGTATGGTATTGGTCACGCAACCAGCCTGGATCACTTCAGACATGCAGTTGTTCGTCGGACCTCGGACCAGAGGATTTGCTAACTTGCCCGGTGGACGCCGCTGTGACCCGACCACAGCACCACACCAGAGGATCTATTATCCAAGCATGGCCGCGAGGACTGCTTGAGTGAGTTTGAAAAATAACGCCCGTAGGAGGACATTCAGGAGGGAACAAAAACACACAGACACAATTAATCGGGGATTCCCAGAAAATATGGGAAAATATGGGAAGTGGGGGGGAAGCCAAAAACCCAGAAAATATGTGAAAATATGGAGGATATTTTTATCTGTGTGTATTTATTTGTGTGTCCCAGTTCCCCTTCGGACATGCCCGACCGAAGCATGAGCTGGCCGTGCCGGGCCGCGCGTCAGCGCCCTTCGTCTCCAGCTGCTGCGTGCCGCGCCGGCGGCCCGCGCGAGCTGCCGCGGAAGTCCGACCACCCAGTGGTGCGCAAGACCCGTTTTTCGGAAGCTGGAACGTACTCCAGATCTCGTAATATCAGAGCCCCGAATTATCAGGGGTGTATTCGGGTCAGGGCTAACTCGGGTTCGTTTCTCGGGAGTCCGAACCCGAGTTATCCCGGACCCGAGGTACCCCGGATATTTCGGGCGCCCAGAGCCCCGAATCATCAGGGTTAACTCGGGTCAGGGATAACTCGGGTTCGTTTTTCGGGAACCCAAACCCGAGTTACCCCGGACCCGAGTTATCCCGGATAACTCGGGCGTCCAATAATAAAGGGAGGGGGGTCTCATTTCGGGGGGGGGTCTCTTCCAGGCTATCTTGGAGGGCCTGGGGGGGTCTGGGGACGATGTTTTGGAGGGTTCTCCCACCGGGGGGGTCTGAAATGGCTTGTCTTGGAGGGTCCAGACCCCCTCCCTTTTATTACGAAATCTGGAGTATACATTACCAGTGGCGGGCTCTTTCTCAGTCCCAGGACTTTTTGAGGGTCGGGGACGACGTCGGGGTGGTGTGGTGTATACTCCTTCCTTCGTTCTCCCAGGGGAACGGCGAAGCATGTATACACCAGGATCCCGTATACACCAGGATCCGCTTTCCTGTGCGAATGTCAGTGCGGGACCGGACAAAACGTTGGTGTATAGAGTTCGGCTCCTTAGGTTTTGTTTTCGATCACCGCTCAGGTGTGGCAGGAGAATCGGTCCTGGGACCTGGTCAGCGCGGGGGGCCTCGCGGGCCGCCTGAAGTGGAACACGTGGAACCATACCGATTACATCTTTAGGTGCTCGTTCCGGGGATCTGTCTCGCCACCTCTTCCTCCTCCTCCTCATCCTTCTCATCCTCCCCGGGGACTGTCAGTACACGACTCGGGGGATGATCCTGTGGGGCGTTCCCCAAAAGGACTTTGCCTTCGAGGATCGAAGGAGTTGTCATCTCTTCCTCGGCGGATGGTGGCAGAAGGGCGGCGTTAGCCCGGCGGAAGTAAAACGAGGCCGCCTCCGCCGGCGGAAGCCGGCAGAAGGGCGATGGAAGGTGGCGGCAGTAACAAAACATGTCCCAAGAGATGAAAACGTGTGTTTGGCTTAGGTTTGCCGAAATCTGCCATGTGGTTCTGGGGGCAGGAGGAGGAGGAGGAGGTGGAGGAGTAGGAGGGATCAGAGGAGAGGGAGGAGGACGAGGAGGAGGTGGAGCAGGAAGAGGAGGAAGAGGAGGAGGAGGAGGAGGAGGAGGAGGAGGTGGAGGAGGAGGGAGGAGGAAGGAGGAGGTGGAGGAGGATGAGGAGGAAGGCCCCAGGGCCCAGGGCCCATTACCCTCATGGCACGTTTCTCCCATGCTGCCTGTTCGACTCAATTTCGATTCGGCAGCAAGTCATGGGTTCCTTATGTGTCCTCGCAGTTCCGTCTTTGGAATGCACAAGCGTGCGCTGGCGTCTGGTAGTCGATTAGACATGCCCACTTCAGCGTCGACTAGCTTCGATTCGCGTCGAGCTAGCGGAAACTAGTGCCGACAAGATGGTATGGTAATTTGGCTCCAGGAGTTGCCGCATAAAGTGCGACTCAAGCTCGACCCTACTTCGACTCGACTCACAGTCGGCGGAAGTTCGACGCAGCATCCACGCACGAGTGGAGCGAGTTGCCCTAAGAAGGTCCCTGGAACGAGCGTCTAAAACATCTCCAGCATCCCTTTCACGACGGGCACGGAAAACTACACGTGCTTCAAGATCCCCGCGTACCTCAGGACCAGCGCCGGGACCGTCCTGGCGTTCTCGGAGGCGCGCGGCGGCACGTGCGGCGATTTCGACGCGACCGACCTCGTCGTCAAGCGCTCCACCGATGGTGGGCGGACGTGGGGTGCCCTGCAGAAGTTGGTCGAGCCTGATCCGGGCGACGCGGGCGTCTGCGGCCACGCCCTGGTCATCGGCAACGTGGCGCCCGTGCAGCTCAACGCCTCTGCGAAGCAGCACGCAGGGCGCATTCTGGCCCCGCACACGAGGAACAATTTCAAGATGTGGATCGTCTATAGCGACGACGATGGAGTCACGTGGTCGGAGACCTCCGAGATTCTAAACGGCACTTTGATCGACGCAGAGCCCGATTGTAGCCGTGGCATGTCGTACTTGGGCCTCCCTGGGCTGGACAGCCTGAGCCTGAACACCCTTGCCGGCATCACAAAGTGGTTGGTCGAGCTTTGTGCAGGTAGCGGCTCCGCGCTCCTCGACCCGTACAATAACCCACAGTTTAGCGAGACGCTGAACGGCTCATGGCAGTTCGTTGGCACTGGCCCTCCAGGCTCTATTGAGCTGCAGAGTGGCCGGGTATTGGTGCCCTCGTACCACAGCTATATCAGAGGACTTGAGGGAGGCATCGCCACAATTTCGCAGCTGTACAACAATTTCGCGCTTGGTCACATGGTCGCGAGCGACGATGGCGGGGATACGTGGCAGCTCGCGTGGACGGGCCGAACCGAGCGACATGGGCGCACCGGCCAAGGGGCCAACGAGAATTCCCTGGTGCAGTTCTCCGACGGTTCCATCCTCATGAACTCCCGAGCGCTCGCCACGGGTTCCCCACAATACCGGCTGCAGGCGCACAGCGACGACGATGGTGAGAGTTTCACGGCTTCGGAGTTTGTCAAGGACCTCCCGCAGCCCTTCAACGGTTGCCAGGGCTCAACCGTCGGGGGCACCGACGACGTCGTGTACACCGCGGAGCCAGACCCCGCCAAGGCGGACTCCCTGGCGCAGAAGCTGGTAGACCACCTGCCCAAGTTCGGGTCGGACGAAAGGGAGGATGCCAGTCAGGATGGGGAAATACACATATACACTCATGTCGTCTGTTAAGAAACTCACTTTTTTGAGCTGGGTCTCAGAATTTCTTAAACGAAAATAGGGAATTCGAAAAAGCTGGGACCAATTTCTTAAGTTTGATCGTTGTGGGTGGTGCTGGAGGGGGGTTGTGCTAGGGGGTTGTGCTGGGGGGTGGTGCTGAGGATCGTGCTGAGGGGTGGCGCTGGAGAGGGTTGTGCTGGAGGGTTGTGCTGGAGAGGGTTGTGCTCAGCACAACCCTCTCCAGCACAACCCCTCAGCACACCCTCAGCACCACCCCCAGCACAACCCCTCAGCACAACCCCTCAGCACACCCCCCGAGCACAACCCCTCAGCACAACCCCCCAACACAACCCCTCAGCACAACCCCTCAGCACAACCCCACAGCACAACCCCTCCCTCGCACAACCCCTCAGCACAACCCCCCCCCCTCAGCACACCCCTCAGCACAACCCCTCGCACAGCCTCAGCACAACCCCTCAGCACAACCCCCCAGCACAACCCCTCAGCACAACCCTCCAGCACACCCCCCCCCCCAGCACGCCTCCCCCCAGCACAACCCTCCAGCACGACCCATCAGCACAACCCCTCAGCACAACCCTCTGGCACAAACCCTCAGCACAACCCCTCATCACAACCCCTCAGCACAACCCCTCATCCGCAAAACTCCTCAGCACAACCCCTCAGCACAACCCCCGGGCACAAC